GGGAGGGGGAGAACCGGGTGGGGGGGGGGCGGGTAGATGCAGGTGGAGGGCTTGAGAGGTGTGAGAGGTGATGGGGCATAAAGGGGCGGGATTTTGAAAAATTGGGGTCGGCGCTTTGCTGTTCTCAGCTGCTAGTCGGCGCAGAACGGTGCGAGTGGATGGTCCAATTATGCAGAGGCGACCACGCCCCTTGTTGCACAAGCGCAGCATCACAGCGGCAAACCGTGAGCGGCGCTATCATGTGCAGCTGCAGGCACCAAGCTGCGTCCAAATGCTTTCGATGGTGCATCATGTCCTCGCTGGCGCGCTCATGGCGCGTGATGCGTCGGGCAGCAAAGCCGCCGCTCACCGACTGCTGCAGTGAAGACGGCGCCGATGCAGAATGATCGTCATGACCATGATCCGAATCCGGTTGTGATGCAAAGCGCCTGAAAGCTGGTCCCGCGGCACGGATCAGGTGCTGCACTGCAGGAGCAGCAGCCTTCAGGGAGCCGCCCTGCGGCAATCAAATAAGTGTATCGGTATCAATACTTTACGCCACGTTTGATGCTCTCAAGGCCCTCCACGTGAGAGTCTCGTGCGATCATCTCACACGTGGCCGCCATCGCACTCAACGCACCATAGCGGACAGTCCAGCGTACGCCAGGGTCTCCCCGGCCTGGAAGAGGGCCATTTGTGCGACCGCTTCTCCTTAGAAGTCCCGCAGGAGTCCCACGCCACTGCGACACTTCTGGGCACGAAATGCCTATGAAAGGGTAAATCACACCTCAATTGATGAATTGACAGGCCGACAATGCCAGCGCAGGGGCTACGGCCGGCCGCAAGAACCTGCCGCGAACCTGACAATTGCAATGGGCTAATCTCATGTCCCTACCGCACACACGCCTTGCCCATGCCCAAGGAACGCGTGCCGCCCTTGCACAGTGTGACGCATTCAGCTTCCTCTTTGCAAACAGCTGGGGTAGTCCTGACAGCTGCGGGCTGGCCTGATGTCATCCACGCCTGACAGGCAGAGCGTTTCAAAGGTGCGCGTCACCACCGCTTTATCATGAGGCGTTGCTTTGAGAGTTACCTTGTCATACGTATCAAAACCCAGCGTGTCTGCCACCTTCGCTGAGGCTGAAAGCGGCGCGACCTGACGCCATCACAGCGTGCTCCTGCTGCCTGCCCCAACAGCCAAAAGCAAACCCCTCCCCAGCGCTCATCAGTCCCCCTTCTTCTCTTCCTGCTCCTTGAGCCAGCCGAGGCCGCCAGACACCAGCGCCCCCAGCATCAGTACGCCAATTGCCGGCTGAAAAACGAGAGGCCACAGCGGGTACCAGGCGTCTAGCAGCACCGAGCTGTGCAGCGCGCCTTGGACGCCCAGGCCCAGCCCGAGCCAGCCCAGGATCGCCAGCACCAGGAAGAAGTCCGCTATGAGCAGCTATTGGTTGGATTGAAACCGGTTGGTGTGATGGGCAGCGAGAGTGATGCTTGAGTTGGTGGAGGATATGCAAGGCAAGCACGACAAGATTGGCAAGCGGGCTCGCTTGTGGAAGCCGGTCCGCCGCTGCGTTTTCCCCGACAGATGCTCTGCAGGCACGCCCTTCGCGCTCTGCCGTCTCTCTGTCCTGGCGCTCTGTTGCTACGCCGCCCCACAGGCCGAGCACACCTTGTCCAACGCCTCCTTGAAGGGGGATGGCTCCTCCGCCGCGCCCTGGCCTGCTGCCGGACGGCTGCTGCTGGCGGGCGCACCCCCAACGCCACTTGCAGGCGCCCCGCTGCTGGCAGAGGGCCCGCTGCCGCTGGCCCCGGAGCGCTGCTGGAAGCGCTCCAGGTCTTTCAATAGTCCTGAAAGGTCTGCAGATTTAAAGTAAGTGGGTCGTGGGAATACGTGCAGATTCAGAGTGTTGGGGACATGGGTTGAGGGGCAGCCCTCAATCATGGGTTGACCCTGCTCGCAACATGTGCTGCTGGCTGGCCGTGCATCAGCATGCTGTGTGGGAGTAAATCAGCACTTGCTGTCACTGATCAGCTTCTGTGCCGTCACATTCTGGGCTACTTCAAGGCACCCGTGCCATGCCCCTACCCACCCTCGCCGCCGTCCTCCGGTGCCGCCCGTGTCCGCCGCTGCACACGTGATGATGTCCGTGCCAGTGGGGCAGGCCTGCACATGCACGAGCATGATGTGCTCAGGCCGCAAGCCAGGCGCGAGCATGCACTCTGACGCTGTGATGGGCGAGGGGCGATGGGGTTGAGCTGCGCCATGAGCTGAGCTCACGCTGTTCGCCATGCACACCTGCTCGCCGCACGCGCAACAGCGCGGTTCGACGACGAGACGCAGCAGGATGTTGTGCTGCAGCAAAGCGCCATTCCGTCTGCTTGGCCTGATTATCAACAAGACGTGTTCAGGACAAAAAGATGGATGAATCTGCCCCTGATCTGCTGCATGTATCGGTTCAATTGCACATTGAAACACTCAAATGGCTTTTCGCACAAACACTAAGCTCGTCTTGCGCGTTAGAAGGACCTCAGAGTGCGGGGTGACTTCGGGAGGCAGAGCGACAGACCGCGTGGTGGCCGCGTTTTGAACGACATGGTCTACGCATTTCATCTAATCAAGTTTTATCATATGTATAACGATAGGCCGTGACGTAAGAGGAAAGCACGGGCACAGCTCTAGCCTAGAGGTCGACGCAGTGATAGGTCGACAGCGAGAGCGCGTGTGGACGACCGCTGGTAGGTTGCGCTTTATCTATTGATTTACACGTGCTGTGTTTGTGAGGTGTATACGTCAGGGCTACATAAGTGTTGTGGTCTGCTGTACTCGTGCTTGTGTACAGCACCGACGTGGGTGGTGCAGAGCGGCTTTGCCCACAATCATGCAGGAGCAGCGCCTCATCATGTGTTCCCAAGCTGATGTTTGCTGGGTGTATAAACCCCTGATGTCTTATCAGGTGCAGCGGACTAGTGGCAGCGTGGCGCCACCGGATGCTGGTGCACCACTTGCACGGCTCGTCGGCGCACTCGCCCTTCGCCCCAAGGCGGCAGCAACGCCACCTCAAACGCACGACGATGGTGGCCGCGCGGGCCGCGTCTCCAGCCGTCGTGGTCGAGGGCGGGCAGACACTAGCAGTGGCTGCGGATGCTGCGCCGCCACTTGCGATTTGCCCTTATGACCACGCAACGGACTACAAAGAGGTCGTCCGCATTTGCAAGGGAGTCTGTGAGTCACTGACAACTCATCCCCTGCGTCTGGGGCGTGCTGGAGACGAGGCGAGCGCTTGCAAATGCACGTGCTGCGATGCGTGTGTTGGCCTGCCGTCTACTGCAGTAGGCAGCGGTGGCCCAGGACAGCGTGTGAGAGCGGCCGCTGCGGCCCCTGGCGCGCCCCCCTCTGTAGATGGCGGCACGGACTACCTGCCCCGTGTCATCGGGGAGTGGGCTGACACGGCAGAGACTGTCATCTTATGCGCAGAGGACGCAGCCGGCGCGCGCAGCCAACGGCAAGGGGCGGGCGGCGGCGCTGGCCAGGGGCATTCGCAGCGGCGCTTGCTGGGCGTAGGTGAGCCTCACAGCGGAGGAGCGCAGTAACGGAAGCCCTGTGCATTGCCTGAAACGCAGCCATGCAGCGGCACCGCACTGGTGGCAGTCAAGGCAAGCCGCGTTGACGCTGCACGACCAACCCTTGTGCTTCATCCCTGGTGCTTCATCCCACGACCAACCCTGGTGCTTAATCTGGGTCGCACATACACCTCCTCGCACTCTCGCACGCTGTATGTTTCCGGCGCCAGCACACACCCCTTCCGCCCACCCTGGTCCGTCAACCCGTCCCACCCCGCCCCAGTTTGCGCCCACCACCGTGGGGACGGCACGGCGTTCATATCCGGCCTCAGGGTCTGCGAGAGCGCGCGCGGCCGCGGCATCGGCCGGCGACTAATGGTGGGCGGGGGGGGGGGGTGGCTAGGTG